GGGTCGACTCATTATCGTATGGCTTTTGCACACACATACGCGCAGGCTCGTGTGCATGCACTTTATGTGTAATGCACGCGCGCCTGCGTGCGCGCATTTGGGCACCGAAGGAACGAAGCAAGAGCTAAGAGCCGTGATCGGATTGGACGCAGCTAAGAGGCATAATACGGAGAGGGACGAAGGATCATTTGGGAGAACGAATGCATGCTCACGAAGAATTTTTATGGCGTCGTTTAGATGTATATATTTGCTATAAATTTTCTTTTGTTTTGAGTGAATTTTTTCCCGTGACTTTGGAATAAAATTTCCGAAATCGTTATAACATTTTTAATTGACAAACTTTAATTCTCTCATAAATAAATAAATTTTCATGATAATGCCTTTATATAGAATAGGTATAATATAGAATTTTTTGTTGTATATGGATGTTCAAGAACATGCAGATATATCGAATGTAATATTATCTTCTATTATTTTTGTATGGAAACAATTTTAAAAAATATACCTGGGAAATTCAAATTTTCTTTGTAAAATCATTATATCAATTGTGATTTCAGAAATCAAATATTGCTGACATAATTCAATTCTATAATAATCCGATATAGCAATGACTTATTTAATTATTCGATTAAATTAATATTATGTAAAGTAAATTTTATATTCATGCGTTTAGAAAATGTTTGTGTTTGCACGAATACATAATTGCATTCGAACGAATAATAATCTGCTTTAATTAGGTTTTCACTATTATATAATAATGTTAAAAATTAAAAATGATTAAGTTGATCCAGCCATGTAATAATAGTTCTCGTTCTGTATTTTTCGGTACTGCATACTTGAATAAAAAGGTGATGACGATAGGCAAGAAAGAGTTAATGTCAATCTGTAAGTCTATAAATCATTTTCATAAATAATAATAACAAAAATACATATATTATCGATAAATGAAAAATAATTATTTAATTTTCTTTGGTAAATAAATAGTGTAAACAAACGCACTTGTTAGAAGTTTACTAATTGTTAATTCTATATAAGAAATACTATATAAACATGATTCAGCTGGCTTAAATGTAAGGGAATAATATAGAAGATCGTAAGAAGAACGTAAGGTAAAGAGGACGAAGAAATCGGAGTGCTTGCACACCGATGTACCCATGTATGCATACCTAGGTGTGTAAGAAAATGAGCGAGTATGTACGTGAAAGAGGAAGATAGTGTGATATATGCGTGCGCGTGTGTGTTTATATATATATATATGTATGTATCTCACACACTGTTTTATATAAATAAATAAATATATATACATATATATATATATATATATATATATAAAAGATAGAGAGACAGAGAGAGAGAGAGAGAGAGAGAGAGAGAGAGAGAGAGAAAACAAGAGAACGAGAAAGAGAAGGGGGAAGAGGGAAGAGTCTGCGAGAGATTGCGAGCTCGAGATTACACACATTCGAGGCTTCGACGAGAGATCGGGGTCATTTCGAGAGCCGCAAGAAAAAGAGGAGAGGGCGAGAGAGGGTGGGATAAAGGAGGTGGAGAGAAAAAGAAAGAGGATCCAAGGCCCACCGTTCTCGCTCATGTACGCGCCGTTCTTCTCAAGGTTCCTTGTCTCGGATATGGCCCCCTCGGGGAGTGAGCAGCTCGCCGATGAGGATTCGTGCAAGAGCCGGCCGGACCTTTCTTTCGCTTCTTCTCGCCTCTCCCTTTTCTCTTCTTCAGAGTCTTATGTACCTCCGCAGAAAGACAAAACTCTCTCTCTCTCTCTTGCTTTTTGTATAGATGTATAAGCGCGAAGAGCATCCGCGGAATTATTGAGAATTCCACCGAATTCTTGCTTTCTTAGAGGAGAACGATTGTATCCTTACTGAGTTTATCATTCCAATAAACTCATGAGTACTTCCATCACTCTATCGATAGAAGCTTGGAAATTTAAAAACTATCCTAGATCAAATTATTACTTTATTTTACTATGCGTATTCCTACTTTAATTGAATGCAATTTAAGACAGAGGTAATATATACAATAACAACTGATCTGCTCACTCTTTTCTTGGCTTTCTGCATTGTACTTTATTTTTGAAATATAACAGTCTCAGAGTGAAGAAATTCTTATTCAGCTATACATTCTCTTTTTAAATAAATTAGTTCATGACAAATTAATTCAATCTCATGTGATAATCAAAATTTCAATTCAAAATGATAATCAATTAAAGGTGTATTAAGTATTTATGTAGAATTTAGAAATGTTAATAATACGTATTTAAAATATAATATGTATTAAGGGGTAAATATTACATTTTATCGAAGTGATATCAAGTGGAGAATCAATTGTATATTTACAAAATGAATAACACAATTATTTTTAATCTATCTAATTATAAGGTGATACAAAATTTTTTTATTTGAACAGTTTTCCATATATTTCCGTTAATAATGAATTATTTAGGAATAATTTTTTTCAGAAAATTTTACATATATTTTTAAATATACAAAACTTTAATGCTTACACAAATACATATGTAATTGAAATAATTATCAATATTTATCTGATATTTTAATATTAATTTAGAATTGCATTAATTTAGAATTGCATTAATTTCAATGTATATATATATATATATATATATATGTGTGTATATATAAATATATAATTACAGTTAGAAATAGAGTTATTACACTATCGATGATTAATCATTAGTATCGTGTTCGTTAAATACGTTTTAATTTTATAATTTGGTATTTTTGTTTTCATTTCTTAAATAAAAAATTGAAATCATGTAAATTTGATTTTACATATATTCAATTCAATATATTCAATCACAATCATATTTCATTATATTTTTTATAAAATAAAAAATTGTATTTTACCCAATAATCATAATTATTGAATATATTGTAAACTCAATATATTAATGTTTAAAAATGTCCAAATAATGATTTAATCATTGATCATAACGTTCATTCATGATAATCTACTTCTTTAATGTAGTCTTTAATGTATAATCAATACTCTACAGCTATGTGAAAAAGAATACTTTTTTATATTTGTGATGTGTAATATGTAATAGATGCGGCGCTAATCAGAGGATAATCGAAAGGAGACATTGAATAAATATGTACAAATTTCATATCTGGTCAACCTAATAAATTTCCTATTAAAATTATTATAAACTGATCCTATCTTATTTAATCAGCAGAACATGCTCTTGTATATTAACTGACGTACATCACGTATATAATCTTGTATATCACTTGCGAGAAACACAAGTGATTGCATATCTTGTATAGCCACCTGGTGGTTCAATCAACGTACTGTCTCCTTACGATCCCACAAATTTCATCCTTCCGTAAATAAATACAACTGCCTAGTAATACTCGTACAAACTATTAATTCACTCCTCATAATTCATTAAATAACTTCCTATATTTATATTTATAAAGGTATAAATATTTTTCCTTTCCATATGATTAGTGAAAGCATAAGATTTTAAATAAAATCATAAAGGCCAAATCAGAGTAAAAATTGCCATAAGAGATGGTATTAGTTGGTATCTGTGTGCAGTAAAGTCGTCACGGGTGCTGAAAAAAAATTTATGATGCTCATGACAAAATGACAGAGAATGAGAGACAATGAGAAAGAGAGTGTGTGTGTGTGCGCGCGCGTGCGCACACAAATACGCATGAGAGAATCAGAAGAGAGATGCAGCGGAAAGGGACAGTTTTTGTGTTGACTCACGTTCCATTCGTTGTTGACCGTATGGTAGTGCAGAAGGTAACATAAAACGCCAGCTACACTCTTGCACGCACTAGCGGAATCAGCTTCACTTTATCGAGAAAAGTTTTTCTCCTTATATATACTACTCCGATGAAGTTTTTGTTGTTTACATTAAGCTCTTTGTTCAATTCGAATCTGTAAAAGAATCTCATTTACCGTCCGTCAGAATTTTAAATTTTTGCAATACACTTGAAATATTAATTATAAGATTATATACATTTGAAGGATTAATATTGACATTGTGGCATATTTTCTTGAGGTTGCGTTATATCGCTATAAATAGCATTGTAACATTATTCATAATTGTTATAGGATTATTAGTGCGTTTATATGTTTATAATTAATTTAATGTGTCAGAAATGTCCTTGATATTTGTGTTGCAATTTTGACATTATATGGTACCACTACGACTTTCGTTCGAAGGATTAATATAAATGTAGTTACCAGATATTTAAGCTCACCACAATTGTGAAAGAGGGACAATTTCAATTACAATGTTTTGACCGAATAAAAATAATTCACTTAATAATTTATACTTGCTTTTATAAAATGTGTTATAATATGATCATGCATACATCATATAAATATCATGTAGAGGAGAAAATACCAAAATGAAAAACAATTTGTGGATTTAGATGAGCCAGAGCTATTATATACGAATTATTATAATAAATGTTTTTTGTAAATTTCTGTCTTTAAAGGTAAATTCATGCTTATATTGATTTAGTGGCGATAGTATCAATTTAAAATTTAAAATTCTTTTTAAGGAATCGTGAAACAATTATGTACTGCTTTAGTAGTCGTTGCTACGTTAAAATGCAGCCCAGTATGTGAATTAAATTTTCTCATATTGAAGATCTGTTAAAGTACAGGTAGGTATGATCGTTTATGAAAAAAAGTATTAAAAGGCGCCGCCGACCTTATCATTCAATAAAAAAGTGTTATAATATGCGGTCATGAAAGTGCATCATAATCTAAAAGTCGTGTTTAACAGTGAATTATTGTGGTCTCGTAGCTCATTCGCACAATACTTGCATCAGCGTGAGCATCGGCATAAGTAACGGCTCGACTGAACTTAATTTTAATCCATTCAAATAAAATTTTCGTTCAAGTCTACCTTTTTGCAAGTCTCTTTTGCAAGAAGCATATAAGGATGGCACCAATATTACCACTCTCTCTCTCTCTCTCTCTCTCTCTCTCTCTCTTGGCTCTCTCCATCCCTCCCTGTCTCTCTGGAGAATTCTCGCTAGAAAATAATCAAGCAAAATAAAGCTAAAGAGGAAGTGCTGCTTGTGTTTCTTTCCTCATAGCGTAAAGTAGCAGTGTGCGTGAGCTCTCGCGAGATAAGGTGGCGGAGGCGGAGGTGGAGGCGAGAGAGTGTGGAGCATAGTAGGGGGAGGGGGAGAATCGAGAGCAAATGGAGCAAAGTTTCGCCGCGCCGTTGCTCCCGACGACCACGCCCTTGCGTTCGTGTACCTCTCACAAACACAACACGTCCGGAGCTGCACTGCGCGAGTCTTCTCCCCAGCCGGCGGCCACTGCCGCCTGCCCCATGCTTCGTCACACCTTTCCCACTGTGTTTGTGTTCGAGAGATAGGCGGCACATGACTGCACACGACCAAATCAAGTACGTCCTGCAACATTTGCCTGTATATTATATGGCGGAAGGAGAAACAGAGATCGAGAGATCGAGAGAGAGAGAGAGAGAGAGATCGAGAGAGAGAGAGAGAGAGAGAGAGAGAGAGAGAGAGCGCACGAGACAGGGGGCAAAAAATATCGCGCATATGCTATACACGGCAATTTTGAATATTACTTTGGAAAACTGCTAAATTATCAATATGTATGCTCAATTGCATTTTCATTTCCATCTCTCAACTTAATTCGCCAATTCTTTCTCATTATATCATAATTACTTAATTGTTTATATTAAAATTAAAGTCCGAGACTTATATTTCTTTTATTACCTATTATTTAAAAATTTTCATTATATTCCATTGAAAATTGTTTAAATCAGATATTTTATCTACCTCTTTATATAAGAAATATTTTATTTGTTAAATTGTAAAAACTCGATTCTATTTAAAATTTATAGTCTCTTTGGTAGCTAATTTAATCACAAAAGATTTTTACAAATTTAAAATAACATATAGATGTATTATTCTTCATTTAACTATATTTTCTGGAGTTATAATTAATTAACCTTTTCTTATAGCTATAATTATTATCATCGTAATTAACATTATTATTACAATTATATAATTTTTCTTCTTTTTTAAAATATTATTATTGTTATTATTATAGACATTGCAGTTATTTAATCAATTTAGACGACTTAGAAGTTTATGATATCACAAAAGTATTAATTTCTCATTGACTGTTCATAATTTGAAATAACACTTGTTATTATAAAATATGAAATTTTTTAATTGAGATTTGATCAATTTATTCATCGCGTGCCCTTCAATTATACTTATAAATAACCTATTATATATAATGATGAAAGAATATTAAGAACAAAAAAGTGAGAACTACACGATGCTATTGTTGAAAAGTGGAAATCAACAATGCAAGAAACAATGTTTTAATTTCTTTAAATTAAATATAGTATTTAAAAAACTTTAATCTCTGCGCCAAAAAAACTATAAAATTACACACGCGCGTGCACACACACATATATATATAGTATTAATTAACATAGTATTAAAATAAAATAGAAATAAATTATCCATTACACTAATTACAATAGAAATTAAGGGTACGAATTAAAGATTATGATCATATGTTAAAATGAACATAGTATGGAAAGTTTCATCCATTTATAGATTTGAAATAAAATGCTCAAGAGTTCTTCATATATCAAAAATAAATCTGATATATCTAATGATGTTTGAATTTCTGAGCATCGTAAAAATTACAAGATAAAACGTATGATTATTATTTTCATTTTGTCTGTCTTTTTAAAGTTTAAAAAGATACTTAAGAAAAACTCTTTTTATGTACATTAAAAAAATCTCAATAAAAATTGTTTTACAAGAGGTTTATGTATATTTTTATAAACACCTTATCGATATGTAGTGACTAATGGTAAATATATAATGAGATTCAAACATGCCAATAAGTCAATTTTTTACATTGTATTGCAATGTATAGAAAATTATTGTTTAAATATAATTAATAACATTTGCAAATATTTATTTTATTAGCATTGTCATTTTATTAATATTGATAAATTTTGGTGATTTGATTAGAATTTTTATCTTTTATGTCTGATTTTAAATTTTTATTTATTGAATTCTTTTTAAAATTATTTTCAAAATTAATCCTTCAAGTGTAGCATATTATTTATATTTATTATGAAATCAATATATTATACAGCTGTATTATTCAACAGATTCACATTTTCTAGATTTGTGGTTAAGTGATTTCTAAATATCCCAGATTTAATATTTTCCTAGTTTTTTTTTGTTGCCGATATTTCGCTATAATATACCGTATTATTTTTAAATTAATTTTAAACATATGCATTAGGAATTCGTAACCGTTTATTTATATTTGGCATAGGAAATTATATAACTACCAAGTTTATTATTGTCATCGAATACCGCTAAGTGCCATTTTTTGCGGTTCTCGTATTTTTTGTTCGTATAGTACTATTTTTTGGTCGGGTTTTATATTTTTCTAAGCAACGATTGTAGATACATTTGAGGTAGCTTCTTCTTCAATTCTTATATACGCCGCTTCCTCATCCTGTTATCCTTTACGGTCCTGTTACTAGGAGGGAAAGGAACATGGTGGTGCGTGTTACTAATAACACTTTTAGAAAACTTTACGCCGGGCTTACACCAACTTTAATAATTATTTTCAATTCAACAGTGAAGATATAAATAATACCAAAATACATCAATAAATTTAGCGTTATATTATTACGATATTTGACACTATTCAGACAACTTAAAAATATGATGTAATTTATTTTACGTTGATAGTACATTGATCGTGTGAAAGTTTAACTACTACGTAAAGTTGAAGTTTGAATGCTTGTAATTGATAAATCCTTCATTCAAGAATATTTAAAAAAAAAGCATTTTAATATCACACGCTAAACATAAAAATGTAAAATGTCAATATCTATCTGTATGATTAAAAAATTAGATTAAAGAATTAAGATTAAAAGAATAATTACATTTATATTAATACAATACTGAAACAACATTAATAGATTTCTTATTAGTTTTTTTTTTTAATCGTTGAGTGCAGAAGTTTTCGTTAAATTTGTTAAATAACATAAATACAATTATTAAAACAATGTATACTATTTGAGGCATTAACTTATATCGTATGATAAAAATATATTCATACGTGGGAAATTTAAAAATCATTAGCATAACAAAAAGAATAGCAAATAGTGAGAAAGATAGGGAGGAGACAGAATTATTAAAAATTTATCTACCTCAAAATATATATGATACTGACAAGATTAATAATGAGACTTTATAGTTCATGGTAATAATGCATTACTATTGTCCATTATAAAAAATCCGTTAAACGAATTTCTACTTGAAAATTAAAAAGTATTCAATTATGTATTATTATAAAGAACAATGTAAAGAAAAAGTGATAATAGTCATAAAGTATATATATATATATATATATATATATATATATATACATAGATGTGCTTTGTGAATTAAATTATATATAATAGTTTTTAAATTATGAAAGTTTGCAAAATGTCATAATTACTTTGTAAGCATATCAATAATTCTTGTATTTTTTAAATATTTAGTTTTCTCTACTTGTATAAATATTATCAAGTAAATGTTTTCGTCTACAGTAAATAAAAACTGCTATAAGGATAAATACTAAACGCTTTTGATTTTTTTTTATTGTAAATACAACTTGAAAAAGATACTATATCGTTTATTTGCATATTATTTATTAATTTAATACATTTGCATAATGTTTAGAAAAAGAAAAAAGTAATTTGCCAAATATTTGCTGATCTCTATTAGTCAATAAAATAGTAAATTAAGTTATTAATGTAGCGTTATAGTAACGAAATGAATTCTTTTAGTTTTGTTTCATAAATTTACTGTCAATGTAGTAAAACTTTGAGTATATAAATTATATAAGATAAAACAAAAATATATATATTTATATATATGTAATATAATATGTTTTTATTTTTATTTAATATGATTTTTATGTATGATATTAAGTAAAATTGTAAATAAAAAGAAAATTATAATTGCAATTAAATTATTTTTATTTTTGTATCGTATTTCAGAATGCAGATTTATATTTAGCAATGCATTATTTAGAAATATTTTATTTGTTCTGCAGGTTATATAAAAGGTGTCTGTTTTCAATAACTACTGTAATAGTGGGATGCCTTTGATTTATTACAAAACATATAAAATTTATGTTATATTCAGAAGATGTAATACGATAATTCGTGTAAAAGCTTTATTTTTTTTAATCATAACACTTATTTTAAAGTACAAATTAATTTATTTTATTAGTAATTAGTATTAATACATTTATACATTTAATAAGTAATTAGTTTATTTAATCAATGCACCCAACGGCCTATCATTCTTTTATCTTAATTTTTTAAAACAATTTGAAATTCGTTTGTTCTTTGTAAAGCTATATTAATAATAGGATTAAGTAATGATAATAGCTAATAATAATAGTAATAATAGGAATAAAAATACGAATGAAAATACTCATATTAATAATAATATCTTTCCGTGCTAACAGTGTTAATATATTTATATACCCGTCTAAGTAGAAGTGATGGCATAATCAATGAATTGGCGAAATTGTTAATTATAGATTCAATCACGTCCTTGAATAGCCGATGTGAAGGGAGAAAGAGAGAAAGAAAGGGAGAGAGAGAGAGAGAGAGAGAGAGAGAGAGAGAGAGAGAGAGAGAGAGAGTGAGTGAGTGAGTGAGAGTGTGGGAGGGCGTCAGGGAGAGTTGTCCAGAGTCTACTTTTACATTCTGGAATCCCATTCATGAGACCGAGCTATGGCATAGGTATAAAGGCGTGTCTTAACTCTCATTCCTCGACCG